TTGCTTAGCTGTCGCCCCGTTTTTGGAACGAGCACCGATCGCGCCGATATAAAATGCCTGCACACGCGTTTCTTCGTTAAATCCCGCGTCCCGTTACAAGTACATTCGGATACGTTCCAGTTGGAACGGAATGAAGAGCTTCATATGGAAACTGAACAGTTTCTGTCAACGATAAAAGGGACCGACCATTCCTAAAATTGTGATTAGTGGATAATTAAAATTATTATTATTATTACTATCGTTGGGATGAATTTTATTAAACTTTGTTTTGTTTTCAATCATAAATATTGGAATGGAAGTCGGATTTTTGTTAACGGGAAAAGCTTGAGAAACGTTTTTACCTGTCGGAAATTTTCTGATTAATTGATATATTTTAATTATTCTATTAAATATATAGACTGACGCATAATTATACTTCAAATTAAATTTCTAATGTCATAATAATTACATAAAAAACTATTTTGTAATATTTGTGTGTATTTAAAAACGGAAAATCGACTGTGATGAATGCGTGTTAAAATTGAAAATGAACGCATTGAAAATTACGATACAAATTAAGATTGCCAAGCAGGTACTTCCCGCAGAAACGTTTTACCAGCACGATACTATTCAAGCTAATGCATTTCTCATACTTTCCGCGAGCGCGAACAAGCGATAGATCTCTCGTGAGAGTGAGTCACGCCTAGCCGATCGACGCCGATTCGTACGATCGCTGATAAGGTCGCTCGCGCGAAACTCTTTAAGCGTTAAAGTTCTACAGATACATCGAATCGTGCAAACGTTCGAGCGCGTTGTTCGGATCGGTTGTATTACGCGCGAAATCTGCCGTACATTTGCAGGCAGAGAGCCACCAGTTGAATCGTTCTGGCGTCATAAATTTGGGAAACGCGACGGCAGTGCCATAAAGCGAAAGAACCGGACGAGACAAGAGGTGGCACGCGCGCGTTTAATCCTCGGCCCTCGTCGAAAACTGCGAGGCGAAATCGGCAAGTTCGACGAGCTAATCGTCGCTCCGCAAATTAATGCGGCAGCTTAACTGAAATTTCGAACGATATTTATCCATTGCCCCGCTCGCTCTCGCTCGTTCTCTGGCCGGCGATAAATTATAAGAAGCGGCGGATTACGTCATAATGGACGCCGAGCACGCGCATCTGTTTTACGAGCGCGGCGTTACGGTAATCGTCGAGCGAACCGACCCATCGCTCGCCATCGCCGTCCGTGTTTCCCGCTTATAATCGGCCGAACTCTCAATGAGTTCTGTATCACTCTACCAGCTTATGAAAGGAGGAAGAGAGGGAGGAGAGAGAGAGAGAGAGAGAGAGAGAGAGAATTCCCTTCCGAGGGAGACGGCGAGAGGGTGCTCGCCGCAGTCCTCCCCCGAGGGGCAAAACCGCGGTGCGTATAATCACTGTAATTTCGATCAGGGCGCAATTTTTGTCCAGGCCGATCGCGACGTCCGTCCGATTTCATTAACCCTTCATCTCGGCCCGGCAATTTCAATCCAAGTCCCGTACAATGTCCTACAGAAGCAAAATCGTGGGAAGCGAAAGCTGGTAAGACATCACCTTTAATTTTTCTTTAAGCCTTCCGTTACGGAAGACGTGATCAAATTACGTCAAGAAAGGGATTTCTGGTGTACTTTAATCATAGACAGATAATTTTTATTGCCGTTCCGTGAATTATTACCTTTATTACTTTATTCTTATTTGTATTCGTAAATAAATACAGAAGACGTGATCATCAAATTACATTGAAGAAACAAATTTCTGATGTACTTGATAAATGTGGTATAATTACAAAAGTTACGTATTTTGACATTAAGGTATGGTTGGAAAATATTATTTTTCTCTCTTTTTAAGAATCAGTAATCTCGTTAAAACGTTAATTAACGAGAAATGAAAATAATTTTATATTTCCAGTAGATACATCAATATACTTAGGATATGATAGATGTAACACCGATTGGCTGTCATAAAATTAAAAAAGATTAATGTCAGCGTAACCTCGCACTGCTCTTTACAGGTCGCCTAACGATAACACGCCGTGACGTGCTAATTGCGGTCGATTTCGCGTTACGTAGCACTTTCTTACCCTCATGCACTTTTTTTTTACTTGTGAACGTACCCTTTATCTCTATGCTATAGCCTATACCCATGATACTCTCAGCAACCTAATTTTTAATCGGTAACAATATTGCTATTCAAAAGAATGAATCAATTTAGAAATACGGAGCTCGGAGTGATGAAAACAACTTATTATTTTCTTCACTCGATCTCCCAATTTTTAAATTTATTTCTATACATATATATATTGTACATAAATAAAAATTTATATATTTACTTATTATATTTTAATATAATTTTTAGAATCGTAATCTCGACATATACAGAATTTACAATAAAGATTTAACAAACAATCTGTGGACAGGCTTTTAGAATTTATCATTTAACGTGTAATCTAATTTTTAACGATATTTAGATAATTTCTAACTGTATACTTGTATTCCTTCTCTCGAATCCAAACTTATATTATACACAGATTTGTGTATTCATATCGAAATATACTACTCAATTTATTTCATTTCTGAGAACCGTGTTCGTATAACATTGCGTACCAATCGACCTGGTCTATAATGTATGACGGATTAAGAAATTTCGACAATTTACATTTCGGCACGATATTCGCTTGCACGAAATAGGAGATGCAACGTACCGGTTGCGTGTTCGGGAAATTTCACGCGCCTCTCGGCGATAATTCGTACGCACGCCGGCGGGCAAAAAAATAAAATCTCTACTGCCGCCTACGTCGATACGCCGTATACTATCGCCATTCTCCGATTACCGATTTTATCAAGTCTCAATAAGATCGCGCGATCGCGGCGAACGCGATATTCTCGCTTTCGTCACGGAGGCATTGTTCCTCCCCTAAGTGCCATACCGTTCCACATAATCGTATAATCCAATACGAAATACACATAACTAAAGCGCATCGGTCAAAGCGTGATTTCTTGTTTTGCATTCTTCGAAAGAATGCGCAACGTAATTTCAAGAGCTTTTAAATGATGACGTGAGATTACAGATTGCTACACGAGAGTAAAAACTTATGCCTTCAAGAGACAAGAATAACCTCTTTATGAATACCGTTAATTTCTGTGGATATAAAAAAGCGAGGGTAAAAGATAACGAGTGTCTTGTGTCTATTTATAACATAAAATATGCAGATATCGTCATCACGTGGATTCTCTTATATATATACCGTAATAACATCAAAAACTATTTAATAATTATTATATTGGTTGACGATCCAATTTAAATCTTACAAGTCATAAGTATTTCGAACAACTGGATTTTTGCTTTCGTACTTATCTGTAAGAATTAAGACTGATGCTCGTTTCTATCAATATAGAAGGTGATTCTAAATCGAGTTGTAATAGAAATGTCGAATTTTTTTTATATAATAATACTGAAATTGACGTGGGCAAAATTCTGCGGTAGCTGAAATACGAATAACGATGAAGTAAGAGAAATAAAAAATGTTGAGAATGTACATAACTTTTCACGTATAACAGATAAGGCTCGCGGACGATTCTTTGATTAACTGCACACGAATCTTACTATAGATTTTTCTCAAAAACGAGATTATAATAGTTTAAATTACGGGTTTTAATGATTAAAGAAAGGTAATAGGTCAACGATCATTCTGGAAGAAATATTTACGTGCATAAACTTGCATATAAATTTAACCTCGGAAAGTAAATCTCATCTTGTTTTCGTTCGATAAAGATACAGCTCTTGATTTACTATCGTGCGTTCCAACTGTTTCATTAAGATATATACATGTAGTTTTAATTAACTATCTCAACTTTAATTTTGGTTTCAACTCACTTTTCATTATTTTTCTAATTATCAGAGTTAGAAAAAGGTAAAGGCTCAAAGGTATTCAAAACGCGTTTATAACGATATGAACACGTATTCAGCCATATAATTCACTATAGAATTTTCGAGATAAAAGCACACATTTATCGATAAAAGCGTATTCCAAATATGGACCGAACAAGAAGTTGAACTGAGATTAAAGCTAATCTACATTAATATCTGCTTCTACCAATGTAGATTAACTTTAATCTCGGTTTTACTTACACTTTACCATTTTCCAATTCTTAGAACAGGAAAAAGAAAGAAAGTGAGAGTTAAACCGAGATTAAAGTTAATTCACATTGGTTTGGACACAAGATAGAAACGAACATTAATCTTTCGTCAAACAGTGGTTAAAAATGGGAAAAAAATTTCAGTGATCTTCCGATGGGAAAAAAGCAGGAAGAAAAGAGGAAGAGGGAGGAAACTCACGGGCATCGGTGGATGAAGACCACGAAATGCGGAGCTGCTCCACTTGCGCTGTCTAGCCTGGTGATAGTGGCTGCTTCTGCTGTAAGCGCTGTTGTTCTGTTGATGATTGCCATAGGAACGCATGGCGGGCCGGAAGCCCGGGTACGGTACACCGTGCTGGAAGTCGACAGCGTCGAAGCGGTGATGATGATGGGGCTCGTGCAGGAAGCCGTCGTTGGGAATCGGTGGCAATCTACCGTAGGCGGCGGCAGCCGCATGTCGATCGACGTGCGGCTGCTCGTGGACGTCGCCGATCTTGCCGATCGGGCCGTCCGACGACGGGCGTCCGGTTGAAAAGGACGGCATCATAGCCGGATGATGGTGCCCGTAAAAAGGAGGGAAGCCGAAAGAGTTGGGCAGCCCGACGGGACGGTATCCCTGATGATGCGTCAGCGGTGGCGGTGGCGGTGGCGGTTGTCCGGGGCCGGGGGCCTCCAGAACGTATCCCGGCTTCTTGTCGCCGTAGTGATAACCGTCGTTGCTCAGCTGCTGCCGCTGATAATCCTCCCGGGGCTCACCTTTGATCTCGACGCCGGCCTCCGTGGGCTCGGGCATCTCGACTTTAACCCTTACACCGTCGTTCCTGTCTATGCCGGGCTCGCTCTTGATGGCGAAATCAACCGGCGATCTCGCCGGGGGACTCGTCGTGTCGGAGTCCTCGTTGCAGCCACCTACACTGGCCTGCTGCATTCTCGGGAGGTTCACACCGATTCGACACCGCAGTCGTGTTTCTCGTACGACCACGACGGCATCGTCGCCCTGCGAATTGCTTATACAATCGTCGGGTGATTAGATCGGTCGTCGATTAGCTGCAGTGGTACTGTGAGAGCAAGGCGAGAAACGGAAACTCCGCAGAGTGGAAACGACGAGCGATAGTGGGGTCGGATGCGCATTATTTAATTGCAGAAGTTTACTTAAGTCCCGCAATGGCTCAGGATTCGCTTCCAGCGAATCGGCAGGGAACCGATAACGGGAGCATTCTCCGCTGCTGCGAGAGTATCGCGTCGCACGGTCCGAGAATTCCGTCAGAGCGTCGCATTCGGCACGAGGAACGCGTTCGATGCACGCTGTAAACGCATAGCTGACGTATAATCCTCCGGAGCATTCGCGATCGTCTTAGTCCCACATCGTGGGATTTCCCAGTGTAATTCCGCGTGGAAACCCTTCGTGCACACATACACACGCACACACGTGCGAGTCTCTCTCCCTCTCTCCCTCTCTCTCTCTCTCTCTCTCTCTCTCTCTCGGAGAACGGGCGTCGTCCTTCCGTGGACGACACGTTCACCCACGGTAGAAGCGTGGGTCGGTCGCGCTGGATTTCGGTCGCATGGAGGGGGGAAGAACGAAGGGAGGGCAAGGGCGGCGTGACAGTTTCCGTGTCACGTGTCCACCGACCCTAGGCCCCGCCTACGACTCCGATTTTCCCTGACGAGCCGGGATCGTTATACCTGGGCCCTTACCGAATTCGTCATTCGTCGCTCGAGTCGAATCACAGGGCGGGCGTCCGCGCAAAAGGGGAAAGGGGAGGCGACAATCCCTCTCGAGATCTCGCTGCGATTGTCAGGGAAGCGAAAACAAATGTCACTTCACCGAGAGCTCCTGATTTCTCGTGCGGTCACCCACGCGTCACTCCTCTCTCCCGTCGCTACCACCCTCGCTTGCCCACCACCTTCCCTTCCTCCTCCTCCTCCTCCACCACTTCCTCCTCCCCCTCCCCCTCCTCCTCTTCCTCCTC